ACTAACAGACGTCTGATGCTGTTGCTGGGTTGGATATTTAGCTTTTCTATGATGGTTTAAAAAATGTTTTGAGTACTATGGGTGCCCCCCCCCGCCCCCCGCACAAGAGTTGATCTGAAAACATAGTTTGAAGATTAGTGTTCGCTTAAAATGATCTCACTTGATGTAAAATGTCAGATATAAATCTGCTTAATTTTTTGTCAAGGTACCTTGAGACTACATGCTATCGACAGCGTCAATCAATTCTTTTGTTTTTGAGACGAGGTTTCATCACTATGTATCCCTGACTAACCTGGAGCTATGTACACCAGGCTGGCTTCAAACTCAAGAGATCCACCTGCCCCTGTCTCTCAAGTGCTGGGATTAAAGGAGTATACCACCCTAAAAGTATTTTTAATGGTATTGAACAGTTTCATCTCCAAAACTCAGAAACATTCCCAAGCCTTATAAGAGATCCCATCCTGCTGCTTTCAACCTCCTTCTTCACAATCCACAATAAAATCAGAATACTTTTCTTTACAAAGAATTGCCGAGCCAGGCGTGGTGGTGCACACCTTTAATCCCAGCACTCCAGAGGCAGAGGCAGGCGGATCTCTGTGAGTTCAGGCCAGCCTGGTCTACAGAGTGAGATCCCGGACAGCCAGGGCTACACAGAGAAACCCTGTCTTGAAACAACAACAAAAATCCCAAACCTCTGAGGACTTTCTTTCCTTTTTTAAATTCCCCACAAGAACGTAAGGGGCATGGTCCTCCTGTGCCCCACTGCACTTGGGCTTCTGAGTGAGTGGTGCAGACTCCCCGACTCTCATCATACTGCATTTAGTACTGGCACTCTCCCTGGCCCCCACCAGTTCCAAGTGCACAATGACTTGTAATTGTTCTGGTCAGTGCAACATCCCATCACCAACAGGAAGTTCAATAAACATCAGCAAGTGTCTGGCCATATTCGCAGCCCTGCTGACTCAAGGCCCCAGGTCCCTCCCTCACAGAGAAACCACTAGAAAACCATCCTTTTCATCCAGAAGAGGATGGTGATGGGGAGGGAGTCCTGGTTCCTCCTCTTGTAGCTCATACAGGAAGATGGTCATGCCATTGTCATTCAGGACCCTAAGGTAGGGAAGGTACATGGAGTGAGTTGTAAAATCAAATGACTTTGTATACACAAGAGTACTTAGGAGAAGCTGCTGGCCAGGGCCTGACAGAACAGAGGCCTGGCAAGCTGTGGGTATCTTCACGGGGAGCAGTGGGCCGCAGTCTCAGTCCCAGATACTCAACATGGATCTCAGTCTATTTCAGGAAAATGAACAAAAAGGCTCATTACCCAGAAAGACTCTATGTCCACATATAATATGCTTCCCTCCAAGCCTTCCCACCTCAAAACTACCGACCCCAGCAGGGTGAGGTGTCACATGTCCGCAATCCCACCATTTGGGAGGGTGAGTCTGAGGCCAACCTTAGGCTATACAAGATCCCATTTCAAAACACAAACACAGAAACAACAGAGGATCTTACTTAAAAATGCCCACCAGTCTACAGCACACCTCTGCTTAAAAATCTCCCCTAGCTGGGCGTGGTGGCACAGGCCTTTAATTAATCCCAGCACTTTGGAAAGCGGGGCAGGCGGATCTCTGAGTTCGAGGCCAGCCAGGTCTACAAAGCAAGTTCCAGGACAGCCAGGGCTACACAGGGAAACCCTGTCTCAAAGAACCAAAAACCAAAACCAAACAAAAAACCAACTTCCCCAAGACTCAAACTGTCACCAAAGAATCAACTGCTAGAAATTTCTACTTCTCACTCATTTGGTAGAGAAAGGTTGGAGGGAAAAGCATTCCTTGGGGGAAATCACAGACCACAGGATGACCAACAGAACGCACAGACTAGCAATCCTACCCTACTTCACTTCATCAGATTTCCAGAACAGGGGAGCCCCAGATATTGAACACGATTGGGAGGGAGCCTCTGGGTCACTATCCCCTGCAGTGACTCTCATCTGTCCACACCAGACAAAAACCTGCAGTAGTGAAAACTGATCCTTGGGCAACGGTGAAAAGCTCATGTTAACATTACTGTAGCACAGACTGGTGTCAAACTCTTGATCTACCCTGCCTCAGCTTCCCTCGTACTGGGATTGACAAGCATGGGCGGCTACAGCACAGAGTAACATATTACCAAAAAAGCCACTTAGCATTAAGAATCCAAGAAAGAAATGAGACGCTTCTGTCAAAGCCAGAACCCTCGCCATGCAGTAAACTCATCAGAAAAAGGCGGGAAATAACATGACTATATTTTTGTCAGGCCAGGCGTGGCGGCGCACGTCTTTAGTCCCAGCACCCTGGAGGCGGAGAGGCTGGTGGATCTCCGAGTTCCAGGCCAACCTGGTCTCCAGAGTTCCAGGCCAGCCAGAGTCATATGGTGAGTCGCTCTCTAGTCCCCAAATCACCAACTTCTCCCTGCCTAGGACCCCGCCCCTCCCGGAAGCGCGACAAGCGAGAACCTGCGCACGCGAGCGCCGCCCATCATCGACCCGGAGGGCTTCCCTCATCCCCACCCCGGGGAAGCTGGGTTGAGGATCAAGGTAACGGTGACGGCGGGTGACAGTGGCTGGTGGCGGTAACAGGGAAGGCTTGAGTGGGGAGAAGGGTTCCTGGTCTCAGTCCCGGAGCCGTTCCATCTACGACCCCAGCCGGATCCCTCAAAGGCGCGCGCGGAGAGATCCGAGCCCCCGCTCTGGGTCGGGGTCCGGAGGGCCGCGCCGGCCGGTCCGGAGCGGCGAGCCTTTAGGCCTGCCTCTGGGAGCCGAGCCACCGGTCACATTCCCCGGGTCCCGAGCAGCTGCAGCCCCCGCCCGCCGCGCCTGGAGCCCCGCTCCTGCCCACGCCGCGGCCTCTACCTGGCTTCATCACTGCGTCCTGGTCGCGCGGCTCCGGCAACCTGCGGCGTCCCCTGCTCCACGAGTCTCAGGCTTTCGCACGTGGGAAGGAGCGCATGCGCGCGGCGACGCACGGCGCGTGACGGAAGCGCGTAACCCCGCCCCTTGCCCGCGCCCTCCTCCCCCGGAAGTGCACGCCTTGGGCGGGAGTTCAGGATCCTCTCCGTCTTGTTGCTGCGCTCTGGGGCGTAGAATTCAATCGCAAATCTGCCGCGGCTTCTCCCATCGCTAGTGCTAAGCACTCCAAGTATCAGAGATTATACTCACATTTTTTATTTTTCCAAACATTTGTTCATTTTTACTTTATCCTTACAAGTGTTTTGCCTGCGTGTGTGTCTGTGCACCACGCGCGCACAGTGCCCGCAGAGGTCGTCAGGGGGAGTCGGATCCCTTGGAACCGGAGCTACGGGCGGTTGTGAGCTGCTACGGGGGTGTGGGGCCCGAAGGTGCGTCTTCTGCAAGAGCAGGCTGTGCTCTTTACAGCTGGGCTAGCCCTCTAGCACAGCCTTGCGTTTGCTGATTGCTGTTGTTGATGTTGTTTGTAGTTTGAGACAGGGTTTCACAGTGAGGCCCGGGCTGGCCCGGAACTGGGGATCTCTTACAGTCTCCAGGTTGTACCTCGCTTTTCTATCTCTTTTTTCCCTTTACACTCAAAAAGCCCTCCTTCACTCACTTGCCCCAAGAACAGGCATCTCACTCTTCTGCTCCCGAGCCCTGGCCTGTTTGTTTCTGGAAATCTTCGGTCACCCTAATGTTGCTGCAGCTGCCTCTGAGTCCACTGCCCCGCTGTCGATGGCCTTGCTACTGCTGGTTCTGCTGCCTGCCCCTCCTCTTCGCATCATGGATTCTGCTCACTCTACCCATAAAAATCAACATCAGTCATTTAATGTTGCACCACCAGGGGGCAGCACAGCAGCGACCTGGTCTCCAGGAAAAGAGTCCCAACTACCGTATCACAGCATAGCCTTCCGGGCAACCGAAAGGCCCTTTGCACTAATCACAGACTTTGTGCTAGGTTATCAGGGAAAGAGTTTACCCCCTGGCCTAGGTGAAGTGGCCGCTAAGGCTTACAGAGGCTTCTGATGGCAAAAAGTCCATGTAAGCAGTCAGAGCTAGAACAGCGCCGCCCGGGCAGGACTTGTCTTTCAGAATTAAATGGTGGCCGTAGCAGTGCGGCTTCCTGGAGGTCAGTCTGGAGCATTCAAGAGCTTCCAGGCTGTGACAGCAGGTCAGGTGGCTGCCAAGAGGGGGCTGCTTGGATGGTAGTCACTCATTCAAAGCATCCAAGTGCAGGGAAAGGCTGAATTTGTCAGGGTGACAGATCACCCTAGCCTCCAATATCCTGTTTTTTAAAAAAGGACAAAATAAGCATTAAAGGGGATTCTTACTATAAAAGGATATCATAGACACTGACAATGCTTTAACGCTTACATGTGGGCTCTCTCTCTCTCTCTCTCTCTCTCTCTCTCTCTCTCTCTCTCTCTCTCTCTCTCGTGCACCCATGCCCACGGGTGATGTCCAAGCTCATGCACAGGCCAGGGGAGGGTGTTAGATCTCCTGTTCTGTCGTTCTCTTAACTGTTCTTGACATAGGGTCTCTTCACTGAATCTGGAGCTAGGCTGGTGAGCAGAAAGCCTCTGTCTCACCACCCCAGCCCAGAGGTTCCAGGCGTGCAGATGACCACTCATAGGTGCTGGGATTTGAACCCAAGTCCTCATGCTTGCTAGCAAGATCTCTTACCTGCTGAGATGTCTCCCGAGCTCCTAGTATTTCTAATTATTTAATTTAAAATCTTTACTGGTAAATAGGTCACATAGTATGAATTTGCCCATTTATACAATTCAGTGACTTTTCGTGTGGCATATTCATAGGAATTTTAAAACACTTTTGGCGATTCCAACATGTATAAAATGTATTGTGCTCATATTCATCCCTTTAACTTCATCTCTTTCCCATTCCTGACGACCCCTTTATTTTTCCCAACTAGCGCCCCTCCACCCCGCTTCCCTGTCTTTTTTGGTGCGGATCATGTGCAGGTAGACACAGCTGCCACGTGTTCATGACTGCAATGTCACAGCGCGTCCAGAAGACAGCATGTCACAGCATTCTTCACCACCGTCCAGCTCTTACGGTCCTTCCAGCCCTCTTCTTCAGCCTTCCCTGGCCTTGGTGAGGACCGCAGAGAAGTCGTATTTAGGACTGGACACCCATCAGCCACTATTCTCGCACTTTGACCAGTTATGAGTCTCTGCGGGAACTGTCACCGCGGCAAATGGCGGGGAGCAGCACTATTGTACGCGTAGAAACACAGACACCTAGAGGGCAGTGTTAGAAGTCCATTTAGTCCAACCCGCGGCAGACCCCACCCCGCCATGCCTCCTTTAGAGTCTGCCGTCTTCTCAGCCTTGGGCTTTTAACAAGGTTTATGGTACCAGGCACGAGCTCCTTCCTATGGAGCAAGCCTTAGATCCCATCGGAAGTCCTCAGTTGCCCCCAGTCATGCTGCTGTTGCCCCGGTGGGCATCGCTTGCCTCATCAGTTGGTATTGTTGGGCAAAACACTTGATGACTTTTCTGCCCCAGAGGGCTACAAAGCACATTCTGGTACCATGAAGCTAGCTAGCCAGCAGGGAGTAAGCTTCCAGTTCAGGTCCAGCTTGATGTATCCGTATCCTGCACCCAAAGTGTGTGGTGCCTTCAGTGATACGATTTTACCATCTAGTTCTGGTGGACAACCAAGAGAAACGGACATAGCCTGTATTGTTGGGGGACCTCTGGACCCTCCCTGACAAAAGACGCGGGCATTTTATGCACAGCCCTGAGATTTTCATTTAGTAACTTTGGCTTCTAGGAGTATTCAGAGGTATCTATTCATGTAGAATACCGCCATGCAAACACTTTTAGTTTTAATTTTTTATAAATAGTATTTTCAGTTAGTGTTCAGTTAGACCCCATCTTTTCCACATCCTCTGCTGCATCCCCATATCAACACTTTCCATACGTCATATCCCCCCCTTTAATATCACGTGTGTGTTCCCACTCCTGCTTAGCGGCCTCCCTTATCACGCTTCCATTCTTGCTTTCTGACCTCTGCTGACTTTCATTCCAATTTGAACACAGAAACCTGAAAATTCAGATCTAAGGTCTGCAAATGAGAGAATGCAGGTGGCATCTGTCTTTCTGTGCGCAGGCTCCCTCACCCAGGAGGTTATTTTCCAATCCCATCAATTTGTGCGTTACAAAGTGTGGTAATTTTAGAATCTATGCTGACTGGTTTTATGTAACTTGACACAAGCTAAAGTCATCCGAGAGGAGTGAACTTCAGTTGAAAAATTGCCTCCATAAGGCAAGTCTGTAGGGCATTTTCTTAATTAGTGATGAGGGCAGGGCTCGGCCCATTGTGGGTGATACCACCTCTTGACTGGTAGTCCTGGGTGCTATAAGAAATCAGGCTGAGCCAGCCATTAAGGGTCCTTCTCCACGGTCCCTGCCTCAGCTCCTGCCTCAGGAATCCTGCCTTAACTGCTTTAGATGATGAACTGTTGTGTGGAACTGTGAGTGAAATAAACTCTTTCCTCTCCAACTTACTTTTGGTCATGGTGTTTCATCCCTGCACAAAACCCTCAAGAATACATGTAGCTTTCATGTTCTCACAGAACTGTAACTATGGAAATTGAATACTTTTAATGTTTTCCTGCTCTAATTCCTCAGCATATAAATACCAAGTCGGTATGTCTCTGGATTGTATTGTACTAGAATGTTTTACTTTAATTTTTTGACAGAGTGTCACTGTAGCCCTTGATGGTCTGGGACTCACTGTATTCCACAGCCCCTTCCCCCTCTCCTCTAGCTCTTACCTCCTTTCTGCCTCCTCCTCTGTGATATACTCTGAGTGTTGATGGTGGAGGTGTTGATATAGGTCTGAGCACTGCACCAGGACTTTGAATTTTAAAAAGACCTTGGACTTTTAGAATGCTGAAAAATTTAAAGACTTAAGTGTTGGACCATTTTAAATCTTGATATTAACACAATAATTTGGGGGACAAGAATTGAATGGTTATGCTTAAAGTGGTAAGTTTGTGTATCAAGCTGATAAGGGATGGTGGGTTCTAGAAGAGCCCACTGTGGGTGGTGCCATTCCCTAGGCAGGTGGTCTTCGGCTGTATAAAAAAACCAGCTGAGGGCGAGAAGAGGATTCAAGATGGCGGAGACAAGCAGACGCAGGTAGGCCTGTGGCAGCGGCCCGCGGAGGTAGACGGGTCCGGCGGCAGCGGCCGACAGGGACATTTAGGCCCAGCGGCAGCTGGTGGAGACATTCAGGCCCAGCGGCGGCCCACAGAGTGGACAGGCCCTGCAGCGGAGATAAGCAGACAGAGGTGGACGGGCCCGGCGGCGGCGGCCGACAGAGACATTCAGGCCCGGCGGCGGCGGCCCACAGAAGTAGACAGGCCACTGGGCAGAGACGGGCAGACGCAGGTGGGTCCGCGGCAGGTGGAAGGGCCCGGTGGCAGCGGCCGACAGGGACATACAGGCCCAGCGGCAACCGGCAGAGACATACACGCCTGGTGGCAGTTCGCAGAGGTGGATGGGCCCTGCAGCAGTGACAGGCAGAGGTAGGTAGGCCCGTGGTGGCAGCCAGCAGAGATATACAGGCCCGTTGGCCGCCCGCAGAGGCAGACAGACCCAGCAGCGGTTGATAGGGACGTGCAGGCCCGGCGTTGGAGACAAGTGGACGCAGGTGGGCCTGTGGCGGCAGGCCGTAGGGGTGGACAGGCCCGGGGATGGAGAGGGGCGGATGCAGCTTGGAATGGGGACGCCCCTAGCCCCAACACCTGGGGAAGAGGCTATCTCCGTGGGTCAGAACCAGGGCGAGTCTGGGCACTCCGTTTGGGGACAACCCAGGGTCCAACTGCTGATCCTGTGAAACCCAACAACTTGGAGGTGTTGGTGAGACTACCCTGCTCAGCTGAAACCTATCGGGGAGAGGATTCAGATGCCTACAGTTTGAAGTGTGAAGAAACAAGATCAGCTGAGGAGTTGACAAATGAACAAAACATAACCTGGGAACACAGAAGAAGGCGCTACCCAGCCAC